TGCCTCTCTCAAGGGCTGCCTCTGGGGCTAGGTACTACAGATGCCAGCCTGCGAGGATGGGGAGCGCACTGTATGGGGCATCAGATCCAGGGTCGATGGGAAGGCTCGGTGTCGACACAGTCCAACTGGTTGGAATTGAAGGCGGCCTCTCTGGCTCTGAGGGCCTTTCAACCTCTACATTCGGCACCAACAGGTCAAGGTGATGATGGCCAACTAGACGGCTGTCTCTTACATCAGAAGACAGGGCGGGACCAGGAGTCTGCCCCTGCTGTGTCTGTCATACGAAATCTTCTTGTGGGCCGAGAGGCATGTGCAGGCCTTGACGGCAGCCTACCTACTGGGAATAGACAATACACTGGTGGATCATCTGAGCAGAGTGTTCCCGGCTGACGGGGAGTGGGAATTGAACTCAAGATACCTGAGACCAGTGTTCCGGAAATGGGGAACACCACTGAGCGATCTTATGGCGACTCGGCAGAATGCCAAGTTGCCCAGATTTGTTTCCAGGCACAACTGTCACGAGGCGATAGCCCAGGGTGCATTCTCCATAATATGGGACTTCCCTCTTGCATATCTTTTTCCTCCCCTACCGTTGGCACTCTAGGTACTAAAGATTCAGTGAGACGGGGGTCGGATGATCCTAATTTTACCTCGTTGGCCGTGTAGGCCGTGGTTCCCGCTGTTGCAACAAATGGCGGTGGTACCGCCATGGTTCTTTCCGAGCAGAGGGGACCTCCTGCTTCAGGGGCAGTGGCAACATCCCGAGCCTGAGAGGTTTGCATCTGGCAGCATGGCTGCTGAATCCTCAAGATGGCGGACCCAAGGGTTGTCAAGCCAGGTGATCAGCCCCTCTTTGCAGTCAAGGGGCCTATCCACCAATGCCACTTACACCAGGATTTGGGAGAAATTTACTTAATTCGCATAGCTGAATAATTTCCCGCCTTTGCCGGCCCAGCTGGGAAATATATTGAGTTTCCTACAAATCAGCGTTGGACGTTGGCCTGGCATACAACTCCTTGAGAGTCCAGATCTCGGCCTTTACAGGTGTAGAGTGGGCAGACAACCCTCTTCTACGTAGGTTTATGAAAGCAGCACTAAAGATAAGGCCTCCAAGGAGGGCACTCTTCCCATCTTGGGACCTGGACTTGGTCTTAAGAGCCTTAGCGGCTCCTCCTTACCATCCTTTCAGTCAATGCACCTTATGGAGTCTTACACAGAAGCTCGCCATAAACTCGGCTAAACGAGTTCCGAAGCTGGCAGCGCTTTCTTGTAAAGAACCGTTATGTATCCTTTTGGAGGACGGGGTAATTTTAAGGCCATCTCCGGACTTTAGGACGAAGGTTGCCTCTGCCTTCCATTCAGATTGGGGGATCATCTTGCCCGGCTGTAAGAGTCTGCCGCAAAGTGCAGGTGTAGACCAATTGCTCGCTTTGGATCTAGTCTCCCTGCTGAAGGAGTATTTACAAAGGACTGGTGACTTCCGCAAGTCTGATTGTTCATACTGCCTAGAGGATCAAGGAGAGGTTTGGAAGCATCACCCAAGATCCTGTCTACTTGGATTCAGGCAATGATCAAGGCAGCATATGCTATTCAGGGCCTTACTCCTCCAGTGGAAGTTCGTGCGCACTCGACGAAAAGGGTGTCAACGTCCTGGGCATCATAAGCCAGGGTCTCGATTGAGGACATTTGCAAGACCGCAAGGTGGTCTTCACAGAACACATTTGTTCAACACTACAAGTTGGATGTGGCGGCGTCCAGGTTGGCTAACTTTTGGTTCGGCCGTACTTTCGTACTATTGCTCTGTCGCAATAAACATTTTTTTAAAACATTTGCAGCATAACGTCCATCTACCTGTGTACCATACCACAAGACAAGTTCAAGTGGCTGTGTTTGAAGCTCAATTATGTTTATATCTTCCATATATTTTTCCTAAACCTGTATAGACAACTTCCCTCTTCATCTCCTAAAGAAGCGCTATCTAGTGCGAAACGTTGAGAAAATCAAGCTCCTCCATCATCTTTCATTATATTAATCATGTTATGTATTCATGAATTTTTCAATCATGTTTTTTCAATCATGTTCCATTGCACAAGATTCTGATTGTCATCTGTATATGAATGAATTTAACTAATGTGGAGTGAGCTTACAGGGGAATCATGTTGTCAATTTTATCAATTCTACTTACCTTTTAATCAATTAAAATATTTTTTCTAAAAAATTCTTGGTGTGCAAGTTGTCAGTCGGCTGCCTAAAAAACCCCAACTTTCCTGATTTTTCGATATACCATTTTCAGGGGGTGTTGGCATCCTATGCCTTGATCCAGGTCATTTCCTTTTCAAATCAATTTGCAGCATATGGGTGTGATATTGTGTGGTATTTTCATAGTGTAATTTACCCGCCCATGAGGGAGTTGCTTGCTATATCCCGTAGGTATGCCGACATGAGATGAGCCAGGAATAGGGAAAATTGTTATCATACTTACTGTATTTTTTTTTTCCTGGCTTATACTCATGTCGGCATACATTCCCTTCCCGAGCCTGTCGCTCAGCTTGTTATTGAACAGGTACTGGGGGAGGGGGCTTGTCTTTTATTAGCTAGTTTAAAGGTGGTCCTGTGGGGTCAGGGGGGTGGAGCTGACCCGTAGGTATGCCGACATGAGTATAAGCCAGGAAAAGAAAATTACAGTAAGTATGATAACAATTTTCCCTAATTTATTTAAGCAGTGACCCACTGAACCAGTGGGTCATTGTATACATTACTTTACAGTGCAACAAACTAGGATCATGGTAGTTTCCATTATGGTAAATATGTAATTTTGTTAAACATGTGTCACTTTTGTTCTTCCAACTTGTTTTTTTTTTAAATAATCTGTAATCAACATAATTTGGGAGGGGAATGAGGGTGTGGGAGAAAGGAGTGTAGTAGGACACTAGATCCAAGAGCCTGTGTCTGGAAGGAAGAGGGGAAAGGGTTTAGTGGGATGGGGAAAAGTGGTAAAATAAAGTAGTGTATAACCTTTGGCCAACAAGCATGGGCTATATTCTCATTACATTACAACAGTTTAACCATTTTATGCACAATACATTGTCTTTATGTCACATGTGAGCCTTGTGGCATTTGAGGGAGTAAATGTAACCATGTGACCCAGATAATGAAGAATTTGTCATATTGGTGTTTACCAAGATAAACCCATCTTTCTGCTTCCATTATTCAATTGACTTTATTAATAGACTTTGGGATTGATGGTTGTCAATCCTGTTTCCAGTGGTTCATCTTGCAAGGCCTTGGGAACGTAGGTTTTAGGAATCATTGAGAAGATAAGTGCCAGCGTATTCTCCACTCGGCTCCATGTAAGCAGTTTATAACAGGACTCCTGTGTGCATGTGGCCTGAAAGTGTCAACGCAGCCTTCTGAGGGTTTGTAAAAATTATACCTAGTTCTGATTTTCTTTTCCTTGCAAAAGTATATTCCCTTTTTAGGTTGGCTGTGTAAGAGCACTTTATATGAAGAGAATAAAAGACCTTTATGGTAGGATTCTCCTATAGTGAGAGACTCGGAGGGACAGGAAGTTTAGGCATGAGATGATGTAAAGTGGAAACAAAATTGTTCAATTGTGTGTGTCTATTTTATCTAAAGGGAACCTCCCGTATTTTGACCAAAGCTGTTTAAGTGACAATCTGGATTGGGTTGGGCCATAATTTCTTTGAGTATTTAGATTGTCCAAGTTTTTTAAAATATTGAAGTGTCATATGTGAGGTCTCATCCAGGCCTCTAGTGTGTTTTGGTACCCAGGGCACATGTACTAAGTTGAGTTCTGCCATTTTTTTTTTCCCAAGGAGGAACTGCCTTTTATGCTTTGCATTAAAATGCCTATTAAAAACAAAATCTAGTTTAAGCTGGCAATATACACTATGAAGTTCATTTAGTCTGAACAAGATAAATCCTTCCATTTACGCTGTTCCAGTGGCTGCTGAATACCTGAACAGCAGCTCTATCTGATTGGATTCAGGTGCTGTTCAGCCGCAAATTTTTGAACAGGCTCCTTTGACTAAACTCAATTGAACAATTTACTTTTGTTTAGCAGCAAGTGCCGACAGAGCAAGCCATTGTTCTAATGTTAGCATTAATAGGATGAACTTTGTGCAGTATAAGGCCAACTTTAGGGCAACCACTTTGTATCAGGACAGTACTAGGGAGGCCTAGTCCTCCATCTTTAAGTCTAGTCAGAATTTTGTGTACGAGAGTGCATATATACAGTGTGTGTGTGTATGTATGTATGTATGTATGTATGTATGTATATACACAATCACAAATAGAGCAAATCTCCTCCCAGTGATGACACAAACGGGAGTAAAAACCTGACAGACGTTCCAGAGTGTGAAATAACATTTTGGCTTTATATACACTAAGATTAATAAGGATAACTATGTAGTGGTGTCTGCATTTTGTTGCAGTTTTTCACTGGCTGAATCAGACTGTGTAATCTGAACTGGAAGAGTTTTAAACTCCAGTACAGAAACTTCTAACATTTATAAAAAATAATGCAAGTTAAGAGTTATATGGCTGAAATCTGAATTTAGGATGTCTGGGACTGCAAGCTACTTTTCTGTTTTCTCCATATATTGCTGTGGAGAATCCACTAGAGAGCACCTGCTTATCAGCTGAGCTTACGGTATGAACTGACCACAATGGAGTGGGGAAATGTTTAGCATTCTGGATCCCAGATGGTGGGGTAAGACCCACTGAGGGGAATTTATAAAAACTGAAGCGGCAAAAATTTGGAGCAGCTATACATGGCAACCAATCAGCTTCTATCTTTCATTTTCAAATCTTAACTGAACAAACTGAAGATAAAAGCCGATTGGTTGCGATGCTTTTTTATAATTGTCATTTTTTTCTGTAATCCTAAAGTTGATATTTGTTGTTATTTGCTACTGTTAATCCTGTCTTGCATACACATAATGTATAGTGAAGTAATCCTATTTTTATTTTTTTCACAGGTTTGGTTTGCATGAAATCCAGCAGCTCTGTGGTGGAGTTGGTGATGCTTTTGTGCTCACAGGTATGGGGGGGTTTCAAGCTCATTTTCATTTTTCTTTGGGATCTGTTAACTTTGGGAAATATCCTCCCAATTCACTGATAAATGTGTCTTATTTAATATCTTAATTTTGAGATTGTGGACAAACAAAATAGTTGTCTGATTGTTTTTTGTTTTTTTTTTTGTCTTTTATCTTTAACTGCATATCTAGTTTCTTACTTGCTCCAACAATATCTGCAGTTTCTCACAAAAATAATGATTTGCATGGAACAATAGGGTCACTGCATGGCCACCGACTTTTGGGATGAAATGAAACAATGTTTCCTTTAACCTTTTTGTGACCACAGGTCTTTGATGCCTATATGCGTGGGCCACATTTAGTCAAATTGTTGTCAGCTAAATTGACTAACTTTGAATCATTTGTATATATTTTGCTAAGGCATGTAAGGCTTTGGTTTGGAAAACTCTTTAATTAGAACCCTGCTCTGTTTTTTTCCCCCCTTCTATTGGCTGACAGATATGCAAAAAGGTCAAATGTATTGCTTTTTGTAATGTATTATTAGTTCTTTTAAAACTATAAATTTTATCCATCAAAAGCATACTCCACCGTTAAACCTTTATAAAAGGCATAGTCCTACTTTGTTTCATGTTACACCCATATTTACAGTGTAACACTAAAAATGGTGACATTCTCCAGTCCCCCACCCTCAAACTGTAGTCTATTGTTTACTTCCTCCATAACGGAAGTTCCTACCCCCATAAGGACCTGAGACTGGCAGTAAACGATGCAGAGCCTGTGCATCTGACCTACGATGTACTAATTGCTTTGAAATGCTGCATGCTTGCATGCCAAAAAATTACGAATGCACATAGTCAATTCCCTAGCATTCCTCTCTACTTGCACATCATTGCTCTCTCCTCTTCTGAAAGTGTCTAATTACTAATTGGGCTGGCCCAGCTTCTTTGCCTTTCCTTTTAGCTACATATCCTTTATGTAGTACTCAGGAGAGTACTATGGAGTGTTACTATAGTAACTGCTTTGAGTCTTCTGACTGATGACAACGCATTCAAGATGGCAGTGCCCAGCGACAATTTCAGAGCTTTTTTTACTTTTAACCGTATAGAAAAAATTATTTTGAATTTTAAGTGAATTTCAAAAACTCAAAATATTAAGATGATCAGTAGGTACAAGAGAGTTAGGCATCTAAGGTTCTAAAAATCTAGACCATCCCTATAATTAAACCATGGTCTCCCTTCTCCCACCTTTCAGATCTCAATATTGACCCTGTAAATGTAATAGGTTATCTCCATTCATTGACCATAGGCAAAAATTTGGAGGTGGGCGCAAGCTTGACTTTTTACATGAAAAGTTGAGATTTAGATATAATTATTAATGCCTATATCCTTGCTGCTTCTTCTTTAGCCATGCAGTTTTTACAAACGTTAACCTCTCCCGATGTATTTTTTCATTATACTCATTTTAAAGCAGCTCTTCAGTTCCCATTCTCATGTCCAAGTGACAGTGTCTTCAGTAAAATTGCAGAGCTGATGTGGATCTCTCAGCTTACAGTATTGTATTAAAGATTACCAGTTCTTGGATAAAGTGGCTGCATTAGCTTTTATTTTTCTCATATTTTTCCGTCCTTCATTTTTATTAACCTGTAAACCTTAAACTAGCACTTACATTAACCACTTAATGACCGAGGCCTTTTTCCCCATTTTTTTCCCATGTTAGCATCCACATTTCAGACCTGAAAATTACTTCAAACCCCCAAACATAATATATTTTCTGATAGTCAATACCCTGTAGAATGAAATCGTGGCAGTTGCAATTTTGTATGTTGGAACTTATCAAAATTTTGTGAAAAATGCAGTTAAGTTAAATTTAGTGCCCCAAAACAAATAAAATACCAATGTTTTTTTAATAAAATATAAAAGATGAGATTACACCGAGGTAATCGATACCCAACATGCCCAGGTTAAAAATTGTGCGTGTTCATAGATGACGCTTCAATAGTCCCTACAGGTCATCATTTTTGAGACGTGCATAAATATTAGCCCTAGAATTATTGCTCTCACTCTAGCATTCGCGGCGATAACTAAAATGTGTAGTGCGATCATCGTTTTCATACGTAGGCGCACCCGACTCGTGTTTACGTTGAGACGTGCAGGGGACTTTAACCACTTCTGGGCCGCAATACGTCTATAGACTTTGAAGGGGTTAAAACAAGAACACGGCTGCTGCAGCAGCCGTGTTCTTGGTACCGCTCTTAACAGCAGGCGATTGCTGCTAATTTACAAGCGATCCGGCGTCTGTACAGGCACCGTATTGTTTGTACCGTGTGGCGGCGCCCACTCTACCCCCTCCCTCCAACGTGCCGCAGCTGCCGGTGTCTTCCCCGGGCACCGCTGTCCCCGTGCTGCGCCCGGGAGCGGCTCGGCGGGTCTCCCCGAAGTGACCGGAGAGAGATTCAGCGATCACTGGACCCGGAAGTGATGTGTATTAATCACTTCCGGTGTCACTGTACACAGTCTCCGGCTCTTAAAGCCAGGAGATGAAGCTGGGGAAGCAGATCTCTGCTTCCTCAGCTTCTTTGGGGTACCTAGGTGACATTAGGGGTCTGCAAGACCCATGATGTCTCCATAAGAAGGACCTGTCGCACCATATCTGCTATTGGATAGGGTGCTTGTTGGCTCCCTATGTAATAACAATAGGGTTAGTGGGAAAAAAATAAAACAGTGTTAAAAATGAAAGTACCCTGAAAGAAAAATTATAAAATGGAAAACTTCTTCTTTTTTTAAGACCCCCCATCCCCCACGTGCACGCACATACAGGCGCAAACATGCGTCGGTGCGCCTACGTGCGAGAACGACAATTGCGCCACACATGTTACATATTGCCGCGAATGTCGGAGCGAGAGCAATAATTCTAGCACCGTCAATGACTGTTAGCACTAAACTGATGAGCGGTAAAACGTTTAAAATGTTCCCTATGGTAAATTTTGGGTATTTTTTTTTTCTGCGGCTTCACGGGCAAACACAATTTTAAGGCTTGACATGTTTGGTATCTATTTACCCGACGTGATCCAGTCTTTCATATTTTACCAAAATAATTGGGTGTTATATTATGTTTCTGTGCACTAAATTTTAATTTAGTTTATTTTTTTCCTAAAAATACGGGTTTGATAAACATTTGCGCAAAAACCGTGCGACTTAAATTGCACCTAGCATTTTTTTATTCTACAGGGCCTCAGCTTTCAGAAAATATATCATTGCTGGGGCTCTGAAGCTGTTTTCTAGCCAAAAATTTATATTTTATCATGTGTGCGCAAATAGTAGGAAAATGCCCCGGATGGCAAGTGGTTAAATGTAAAAATCATTTTTTTTTTAAATGTTAATTTCATATTTTTAAAAACACTTTTATTTTTGTTTTTTTTACTTTAATTGCTATCACATAGGGGACATTGCAGGTCCCCCATGTGATAGCATATTGGCAGTGACGGGTACTCTTTACAGTGATACTGGGGGTCCAAAAGACCCTTAGTATCACCTGTACACTTTAAATAAGCTATTGAAGTGCAGATTGCACTTCAATGGCTTATTGTTGGGCTTCAAGAGCCCAGCACTGACAGCTATGGGACCGGAAGTGATGGAATCTGCATCATTCACGGGGAGGACGTCGGTGAACAGACCTTCGCCGCTCTTCTCCCCAGCTTCCTGCTGACAATGGAGATGCTGGTCCTGGGCCCGCAGGAGGGGCAGTGGAGCCCGGGAAACAAGGCGGGGAGTGGGCGGGCAGTTTACCAGTCCATAGAAGCAATCTGGCAACAGCTGAGTCGCCAGAATCGCTTCTATTGTAAAGCCGGCAGTTGGCTTTACAAATATAAACAGAGTCCTGATGGCGTCTGTTTAAACGGGCCCGCTGCCAGTGATGTACGTCACTGGTCGCGATGGGGTTAAGGTGAAAATTCTCACTCATTATACTGAATTTAGGGAGTAAATAGTATCTTAGGACATGACTGCAGTACACCTCCCCTCTTGTTCATGACATAGAGATTCTTGGTTCTGTAGTCTTTGGTGAGGGTGGGGAGCAGTGTAACTAATAAGAGTGCAACACTGCATAAAGCATTTATTAGCTCACAAGAGTGTGAGCAACAACAAATGTTTATTTACACTTGTCGAACTGATTTAACAAAACACTTTCAATGGTATATTTACCAGGTCAAAAGGGAATAATATGAATATCATGTTTAGCTTTAACATACCCTTTAATAAGGTGGCTTGTGTAGTTATAAGATGCAGAGACTGCAAACCTTTTTTTTTTAAACTCAGAGGTAAGTATTTGATCATTTAATAGCCTCTAGCCTGCTTACCTCCTGCCTAGAGCAGGCTTGTACTATCTGCAGTCTACCAAATCAGACTTCATTGTACAGTTTAGGCCAACAAATATTTTGTCATTTAAATGTTTTCTTTTTGTTCCTTGCAATTTAGGAATCTGTGAACAGTTTGTAGTCAGGATTTCACACAATCCTCATTAATAGCTTGAGGTCAAATTACAGGCAGACTGTTTTTTTCTTTTTTTGAATGACATCCCCTGGTGAAGGGAGTGTAAAATGTTTATTACAACACTGGGAGTAACTATGTGATTTTAACCACACAGGGTGGGGGGTTTATCTATGTTGTTGCATCATCAGTGTCGCATACCTTTTTTCTAGTGCATATAGTGACAGATTTATTCTCCTAGTTTATGTTTCATTCTGAAATGCCTTCGTAAGGAGAATTGTCTCAAAACGGTCTCAAAATTGTCCCAAACTTGAAGGGAACTTCCTGGATGGCAGCTGATTAACCTTGAAGTGATTACCTAACTTGAGCGAATGAAGTTAAGCTATCTTTGCGATTTTTAGTTTTTAAGAAGTGCTGAACCACTTCTATAAAGTGCATCTGGTTAGAGGTCTTTGAATGTTGCAAGTGCTGTACACAGATACTGCGCAGCTAAGATATTATGTGAAATGTTGCAAAACATG